AGAAGGCTTTGCTTCTCCCTTCAGAAGTGTGGATCTTGAGGATGCTGGCAATGATTAATGAGTAAGAGATGACAACTAAGAGCAGGGGCATCAATGTGAACAATGTCGTGGCCACAAGCATGATGAACTCATTGTCTGAGACGTCAGCACAGGCTATCATGACAGCCAGAATTTCACAGGAGAAATGACTGATGACATTATTCCTACAAAACGTCAATTGTAGGAAGCAAGTGTAGTTTGTATTGCAGAGTTGATAACCCCTGCAAACCAGAACCCAGCTGCCATGGGCACATAGGCTATCTTACCCATGACAACAGGGTATCTCAGAGGTTTGCAGATAGCCACATAATGGTCAAAAGCCACCATGCCCAAGAGCACACACTCTGTTGTCCCCATGCCCAAGCCAAGAAACATCTGCATCTCACAGCCAGAAAAGGAGATAGTCTTTCTTTCTTTCTGAGAGGAAGTTCACCAGTATGGAAGAAATGGAGGTGGTAGTGTAGCAGATGTCCAAGAAGGAGAGGTTCCCAAGGAAGAAGTACATAGTAGTGTGAAGGTGGGAGTCCAAGATGCTAATTAAAATAAGGGTGCCATTGCCCAGAAGGAGGACCACATACATTATTAAGATTAGCACAAAAAAGAATCGCTCAAGCCTTGGGTAATTCTTTAAAAAAGAATTCCACCAGAATGGTTTTGTTTCCCTATTCCATTTCACTTTTTTCTCTTTTACCTATAAAACTTCAAATAATTTTTTAAAAATAATAATTTATTTACTATGGTAACTTCAAGTTCACCAATGCATACATATAAAAGTATTCCATGAACCCAATAAGAAGGAAGAAATAAATCAGGGAAGGGTAAGAAGAGAAAAAAAGGGAATGAAGAAATAAATAATTTAGAAAGAGAAGTATGAGGGAGAAGCTATTGTATCAATTACTCTTTCTGTTCCAGAAACTTCATACATTTCCTCATTTAAACACCACAATAATTATCATTTTAAAAATAAGAAATGTATTTAAGCTAAACCAAGAGAGTTTATTTTATCCTGCAGTCATACATTTAAAATTAACATATAGCAAAGACCAGACTCTCAAGCTTAAGCTTGTTTGTCTTCCATAATTTATCTGGTATTTTAATGAGCTATAAAAGCAACACGGAATGCATTATATCAGAGATTGGGTTAACTTGGGAAGGCAATCTAGGTCCTTGGTCAGGGAAACTCAACAATAACCCACTGCATAATAAAACACTAAAATAAGCATATCAATCTAATGGGAGAATGGTTAGCAATAAAACAAAGCAATGCTTATTGCCCAAAAAACAGGTGCAATTTATGTAAAGCCCAATAATATGAAGTCTTTTTGTTACAACATAAATATACTTTTGGGTGAGATATTATTTTTAAATTTGTATTTTCTAAATACTTAGATAATAAAATTGATTTTTGTCTATTTCAGTATTCAGTTCTATGAATTTTAAAACATGTATAGATTCATGTAATTATCACTACAATCAGGACATGAAACTCACCAATCACCATAAAATCTCCATTGTGTTCTCCCTTAATAGTCACCCTTCCATCCACTCATAAATCCTGGAAAAGACTAGTATTTTTCTATCCCTACAGTTTTACCTTTTCCTGAATGTCATATAAATTGGAAATATGTGAGCCATAAGTGTCTGGCTTCTCTCACTTAGCATAAAGCCTCTGAGATTCTTCCAAGTTGCTATTGCTGAATAGTATTCCACGCTATGGACATACTACAGTTTATTTACCTCTAAAAGACATTTCGGTTGTTTCCAATTTGGGGGAAATTATGAATAGAGCTGCTATAAATATTCATGCCCAGATTTTTGTGTGAACAATTTTCATTTTTCTAGGGCAAATATCCATGAGCAACATACTGGATATGAGATATGCACACCTAAATTTACTAGAAACTGCCAGTTTTCCATAGTGACTATCTCATTTTTCTACTCTAACAAGACGTGTATGAGATTTCAAGTTGTTTTCCATCCTCATCAACACTTGGTATTGTCAGTATATATATTTCTTACACAACCTAATAGGTATGCAGTGATATTTCATCATAATTTTAGTTTGCATTGCCCTGACTAATTTGTTGTGGAATTTTTTCCCATCTTTATTTTCTCTATAGTAAAGTGTCCTTCATGTACTTTGATCATTTTTAATTGGGTTGTTTGTTTTCTTATTGTTGAGTTTTGAGAGTTCTTTACATATTTTGACTATGAATCATTAATCAGACATATGACACATATTTTGTCTACAAGTCTCTCATTCTCCTAATGCAAACACATTTAGTTGCCATTTTAACTAGTTGTTTCTTAAGTAGAATTGAAAGAAACACTATGATCAAAAGGACATCTTCCAAAAGTTCATTGACACCTCTTATCCTGGGTGAATCCTCAGGGAAGTAACTACTGGCATCATTCAGGGGTCAGAAAATGTAGGTTTTGCATTTAAAAAGCTTGACTCATAAAGTCTCAGGCCATTCCTTTTAATTTTTCCTCAGAAATAGAGCTTTCCCACCTTCTCAGCCCACTGCCCAACTTACACATACTAATTTATAGCAATATTCTTTCTTATTCATGGACAAAAAATCTATTGAAGGTGTTCTAATTCATTCACAAAGCAAATAGGCACTTAACATGTAGACCATTTCTCCTTATTAGCAAACTTGGCAGAAATTTTAGGTCTGAATTGAATCCTTTGGGAGTATTTCAACTGGATTCTAAATACTTATATTACTTTTTGTCATTATTAGGGCACTTCAACTTTTATTCTATTTTGTCATTATTTCAATCAATTCTGCCTTTTATATTTTGAGATTCTTTCATACCCTACAAATATGTGCTTCTTTTACTCTGAGTCCCAGATCACCTTCTTAATGCTACCCACCCAAATCCCAATTCTCTGGTAAATGATAACTGAAAAGCAATGTCATTGTTTCACAAAGCAAGCTCACTTTGTCTATTTAAAAAAAAAAAGTATGTTTTACTGAAATTGAGATTTTTAATGACATATAGATGTGCTTTAGAGCAAGTGTTTCTACACAAAGTTTCTATAAACAATAGAAAACTTCTAGCATGAAGTCACAGGATAATAAAAATATTAAAACTCAATAAACACAATTACCCCCTCCACAGCCCCAACCACAGAGAGGAATAGGCAGCCATCAAGCTTGGAGGAAAACTTACTGTGAGATGGCTTTTACAAGCAACAGAAGTTCAAGCACCACACCACCCAACAAGAGGGTGTGGTACAAGTCTGTGCTGCAGAATCAGCCACAGGGGACTCCACCTCCTATTTACCCAGGTCTGCTTCTTCCAAGCCTTATCTTGACTGGGGGCCTGTACCAGCTGTCAATTCAGTCCACACATCTCCCCTCGGTCCTCACGAAAAGCCTTTAGTGTATTGGATCAATGATAAGCCTCTGGATTTGTGCAGAGCACATGGACACATATTCTACATGGTTTCTATATGGATTAAATCTGTCTATGGCCAGCAATGAACTCAGAGCTAGGGTCACTAATCTGTGGTCCCTCTGACATCAAAAGAGATGGGTGGCTTCCTATAGAAATGTCTGCAAGTAAAAGCTTTTGGCAGCAATCATTTTAGGGCTGAGTACCAAATATACTACCTTAGTCACAGCATAAAATAATTATTTTTCTCAAAATAATTTCTAAACAGGATTAAACATTTTGGAGAAGTTAAAAGAGACGAAATGGCATTGTACCTGATTCATACCTTCCCTAAAACAGCTTTAGGGTAGGCTCTTGACTACTGATGCTTATTCAAAGCCTCTGTCAGAGATTTATACACAGACTAACAATAGGTTGATTATGCTCCTGTGGTAAATCAAATTCCAATCTCAAACAGTACTGAATAAAAGTATATCTTGGCCTATCCACCTCTTCCTGCTCTCTTTGTAAGTCTGCATAGTTTGGCACAGCTTGAATTGAATAAGAGTCCTCCTTTCCATACTCAATACGATTACACACCTCCTTTTATGCTGACTAAATGGTCTGAGCATTGTTTTCTCAGAGAGCAGCATAAATTGTCAGCAAATGACTATCACAAGGCAAATCCTATATCACCTCCATAATCATTGTATTAAAATATTAAGTAGTAACTCATCCATTAGATAAATTTATTTATCTGGAGATACAGTTTGTAGCTATGGCAGAAAACCATGAGGATACAAAGCTTTTTTTAAAAGGTCATTCTGTGACTCATTTACTCTAATCAGGAAGGTCATTTGCTAATATTTATGTTTTAATTCTGTTTTCAAATTGAAGACATTTGCTCCATGCATTTTTATGAAAAACTCTGGTGCTTTAGTTGACCCAAAATTCATTATTTTAAAAATATTGGCCCTAACTGAAAATTCAACAAGTCTAATTTCTTTCCTATGGACAACCTATTGTATATGCAATTGAAGGTTAGATAAAGAGCTTCACAGACAAGAAAAACTTAAAAAGTTCATCACTACCAAACCAGTGTTACAAGAAATGTTGAAGGGTATTTTTTATTTAAAAAGAAAAGAAAAAGATTTAAAAAAAAAATATGAACAACAAAATGTCAACAAATATATACCTATCAACAACTTAATCTAAAACTCAAAATAAAGGAACAAAAAAATCTAATGAACAGAATAAACTGGTGAATAAAATAGAATCAGAGATAAGGAAATTAAACAGATTGATGATTCTCAGAGGGAAGGGGGTTAAAGGACAGAAAGAGATTAAACAAAGATCATACATGCATATATGTATTACCTATGGACAAAGACAATGGGGTGGCGAAGGCCTGGGGTGGGCAGGAATTGGGTGAAGGGGGGCATTTGGGGAGGAAAAGGAGGACATTGTAATAATCTCCCTTTCACATAATATCATAAAGTCCATCATTCCTGAACTAAATTCTGTTATCCATGAGAAAGTAGATGGCTGGGATGAGAATCCTGTTAAGGTCACCGAAGGAGGAATGCATGAGGCCAAAGTGGTGAGGGATTATAAATTTATTAGGTCATCTGGATACCAGATAGGCTAAGCCCCAAAATGGTGCCAACACCCACAGATGGGGAGTCAGAGGTTTTTAAAGGACTCTAGGTGGTTTTCTTCTGGATGGAGAATTCTCCGTGCAGACCCGGATTCCAGGAAAGTCCAGAGGGAAGAATAATCATCTTAGCAAGTGGACTGTGGTCTAAGCAAGTGAAATGTCCATTGTGAAGTGGCCTAAAGTCAGTTCCCAGGAGAGGGGGTATTGATTCAATTATTTTATCAGACCTAACAACTCCTTTTACCCACAAATTTCTGTTCTTTTTCTCCTTAATCCAGTCATGAAGGGAAAAGAAAGTAATTTTTTGAATCATTTATCTATAACAATGGTTTTCACTCATTTCACCCTAGATTTCTCTCACATTTAAATACCAGTAACAGAAAAATTAGTTTCAGGGATTATTGGTATCACCAACTCTTATTTTTGGTTTGGAATCTTCAATTGAGAATGAGACCTGGATTCAGGATAAAGGAATTTTTTTTAATAGCATTCACATTCCCTGTGGGGAGCACGTCTGACACAGTATATTCTTCACAGCTGCCTTCACATCTCTGTTCCTCAAACTATAAATGAGAGGATTGAGCATGGGTGTCACAACTCCATAGAAGAGAGAGATGATTTTGTCTGTGACCTGTCCTTTGTCTGCACTGGAAGAGTCTTTAGACTTGGGTTTTGCATACATGAAGAAGACGGTTCCATAGAATATAATCACCACCGTCAGGTGGGCAGAGCAGGTGGAGAAGGCTTTACGCCTTCCCTCTGCAGAAGGAATCCTCAGGATGGTGGCCATAATCAAAACATAAGAAACAAAAATGAAAAGTACTGGAACAACAAGAAAAATCATATAAGCAACAGCCATGCAAATAATGTTTATGGAGATATCAGCACAGGCCAATTTTAAGACAGCTAAGATTTCACAAGTAAAATGATTAATGACATTATTACCACAGAAAGGAAGCTGCATGGCAAAAGAGGTTTGCAACACAGAATTGACACTCCCTGCAATCCAGGATCCAGCAACCATGGGTACATAAGAAGTCTTGCTCATAATGATGGGATATCTCAGAGGGAAGCATATAGCCACATAGCGGTCAAATGCCATCATGCTGAGAAGGACACACTCTGTGGATCCCAGAGCTAAGGAGAGAAACATTTGCACTCCACATCCAGAGAAGGAAATGGTTTTCTTTGAAGTTAAGCTGCTGAGAAATAGGGGAATAGAAGAACTTGTGTAGCAAATGTCCAAGAATGATAAGTTACTGAGGAAAAAGTACATGGGGGTGTGCAGGTGGGAGTCATAGACACTTACGATTATGATGACTCCATTTCCCAGCAGGATCACCAGGTACATACACAGGACCAAAACAAAGTAAATGGCCTCAAGCTCTGGGTAGCCAGAAAGCCCCAAGAGAACAAATTCTGTCACAAAAGATTGATTGGTCTTCCCCATGTTAATGTTTTCTTTCACCAAAGGGAATTCTGCAGCAGCCAGAACATGGACCTGTTAAAGCAGTGTCTGAAAGAGTTGTCTGCATCCTTGAGTGGCTTCCTTATGGATAATATAAACCTAAAATTGGATTAGTGGACAGGATAAGAATGTTACTATCTTCTAAGCTAAGATCAGTTAGACTTTTATACTTTATAAAAGAGGCTTTAGCTCAAAAATAAAAAATTAAAAAAAAATCCTTGTTAAAGACGATTCAGAAGGCATACAACCAGGTTAAATTATGTATCTCATGTACATTATGAATTTGAAATTATTTTGAATGCAGTTTTATTATATCATTTTAATCAAATCTAAAACATATAAAGTATTATTTGCCACAATTTTATATATATAAATCTGTTTTTCCTCCACAATGAATATATTAGCCTTAACAAAAATCACTATTCTTTAGCTACTAAAACAAAATCTTGTTTCAATGGTAACAACCTCAGTTTAGAAGAGTTCTGTGATTAGGAGAACAAATCAAAAAGATATACTTAAAGAAAAATAATGTTTGGTTCTTTCTAATGCAAATATATACTTGCAGTCTCTTAAGAACATTAATTACTGGCATTAGTGGTGTTTGTAAAAGAAAAAATTTTAAATAAAATTGTTATTCTTTGTCTTTTACAGTACAAATTGGAACATCTACATAACTGTCCTATCTGATACACATAATGAATGGTGAGTTGTTCTCAGAATAACTCTAGCACATGTCTCCATCTAGAGCCAGACCATAAATAAATGTATAATCTAAGAATTTAAGTGACAGGGGATTTACTCTTTTACTTCCCGATATGAGAAAATACATTTTATCTTCTCCTTGCACAGAAATCAGTTCTCTCCACTCTAACCACTGCCCTTCTGATCTTCCTCTCACTGCATGTTCAAACTACCCATAATAAAAAGGTTTAAGTCACTCAAAATATCATTCAGCATTAGCAATATGTTATAATTATTTGTATCCCACCTCACTGGAATATAGAGTATTTCTACATTAAAATGGCAGAAACAGAAGTCCTACTATTTTATGAGATTGTTAGTCTCATAGTTTCATCTCAATAAGTTCAGTAAGATAACTCAAGGAACTATCTGCTTCTCAGTTTTCATTAACATCAAGTATCTGCCATTGCTATTGCTAAAAAATAATAATTTACCAGTGACAAAATAGCACTGACTTCCAGTAACGATGAAAGGTGGGCTCTTTACATTCATTACACTATGAGGCTCCTTTAAAGAGCCAGCCAAAGAGTACCAGAGCAACCTAAAATTTGTGCTGCTCTGCGGATCTTCCTAAATCCCAAAAGCAATTTAAAGTTCACAATGTGGACTGAATAGAATTTACAAACTTTCTAGTACTTTTGGGATGAAGTCCCTTGGAAGCAATTAATACAAGGTTGCTAATACATTTTAATTGAAGTATAACTCACAAAACAAATAATTCTTCTGACTTTACACAGTCCAGGAAAAACAAAGTTAAAAGGGCTACCTCGGTCAAATGGTCAAGATCTGGAAATTAAAATTGACTATATCTGATAGAGAGATGTGTTAGTAATCTGTGACACTTAAGTCAAAATGATGCTTTGTTCTTAATAAATTATCTTCAGATATCCTTTATTTTGGCCTCTAAATCCTGGAGTCTCAGTGCCCATAAACTGTTATCATTGGTCACTCTAAAATAGCCAGAATAGTATGCACAGTCATTTTAATTTTTCTCATTCATATCTTCTGTTCAAATACAGGGTGGGGCAAAAGTAGGTTTACAGTTGTATGTGAAATAGAGTTTATATTTGTATTGTTTTTATTAATTATTATATTGTTTTCCATACAAACAACTATAAGTCCTACCACCCTGTATATACACAATACTCCAAAGTTACCCAACCTGTCCTTCAGTCATGCCCACATTGGCATGAGACACACAGAACAGACCACATCAACAATTTCCATGAGATGAACAAACCATACTTTACTTTTGAACAGTACAAGAAGCTCCGATTGAAGTGGATAATTATGTCATGACTATCTTTTGAAATTAATCATTATACATGAAGGTTATCAAATAGTCTTCAGCATTAAACAGTAAAAATAATTATGTATACTGTTAAAAAGAATAGAATAAAATTAGAAAACAGCACTCTTTTTGTCAGTGGATAATAATCATAAAAAGTTGTTGAACAAAAGATGCAACATAATCTTGAACAATATGAAAGCAATTTATGCCATGAAAGATGGTATTCTATGCTTCAACAAATCAAATGTGAAAACCAATTCTCAGAGTTCTTAACTTTATGCAAATACAGTTTCGGTATACTGGCTTGCAATGCAAATGTTGAACATGTTTTTTTCATTAATGTTCAGTGGACAAAGGAATTAAATAGTTTTGATGTGACCACAGTAAAGCTATATTACAATGCAAATGTAACTTCCAGAAGTTTTATAAGCAAATTATGTAAAACAAAATAATGTTAGAGTAGAGCCAAATAATTATAGAAATATAATTAAAGATGTACTTAATATAGATACTTATAATTTATTCCCAATAAACAGCAAGTATTTTTTAGTACAAGTGTTTCCTATGCAATAATTTTCTTGTATCCCAGTGTGCATATGCGAAGGCAATTAGAAATAATTCAAATTTAACTGGGCGGCATCTATTTTTATTTGCTATCCTAGCAAACCTAACTTCCTGTGACTGGGACTCACATGAAATAAAGTCCAAGCTTGGGTTGCCCACCTGTCATCATGGTCAGTTCTGGCCTTTTCTAGAAGGAAGGTATCTAGGCAATACTGTGAGATAGTACTATTTTTAGAATATCTAAATGAGAAAGAGGAGAAAATATTTATTGTCTTTTTCTAAGCCACTCTGGTAGATACAGAATTATATTCTGTTGTCTCAAATGTACCTACTCACCACATTAATATGACTATAACTTCAACCCTCTACCCCTTTCCAGGACAAATATGGTGCGAAGAAACAATTAGGATGAACTTATTGAGGCTAATGATTAATTACTATTCTTCAACATTTCTTTAGTCTATCATCTTATTTCCCTTCTGATTTTCATTCATTCAGTGTTTACTGAGATCATCTTGTTCCGGAGACTCTGTCTGCTTCTTCCCTAGATCCCATGCATCACTTTAGTCCTCTGCCAGGTACTACAACCCATTACAAGAATGGCAAGCCAATGTCTAGGGTCTTAATATCTGTGATCAGCTCCCCTACTGCAAACTGCCTGATTATATTAATACTTCAAACAGAGCTTCCCCTGGCTTCTGCCTTCACAAGGCTCTCCCTCTTGCTGGGCCATGCATCATCAATCCTTGCTTTCCCCTGGAGTGGCTGCCACATACTTCTCTGGTTCCCTAACTCCCAGGCCCCTCTTATCTCTTACTTATATGGCATTCACAGGCCATCTCTTTGTCCCTTTACAAGGCAGCGGGTACATCTGTCCATTTCAGTCTGTCTAGAGACTAATCAACAACATGCTTAAGGACCAGACACTTAATTAATACAAGGTTGCTAATACGTTTTAATTGAAGTATAACTCACAGTTTAATTTGACTCCAACCTCTTTTGTACCCTAAAATAATTTACCCAAATATGGTTATATTTTATCTAAATTGTGAACAAAATTTTAATTTCATAATAAGCCTAGAAAATTTAGTTTCATCACCTTGAAATTAGATAAGGGCAGTGTTTCAGACATTTTTGTTGAACGAACACAGAACCTCATCTAGATCCTCAGGCTAAAGTTTACCAAAATGCTAAATATTCACCATAGTACAGCTACATTATGATCAGTATATTCACTCATTTCATCATAAGAGTCTCTCTCACAGACTCATGATCATTCTCTCACTTGCTTGTAGCATGTTCTCTAACAGGAGGGCTTTGTACATGACAGGAAAGAATCTAGAAAGACATAACATGACGATTGTAGGGATAGTCAAAGGCAAACAAGTAACTACCAATTAATCCATGATATAAAGAACAGAACTGGGACATCAAATTGCGATTAGTTAATTAGAATTTAAATGGTATATCTCAAAGCCAATCAGTGAAAGGATCAGAGATGTGATTTAAATTGAGAAAAACATCAACACAACAATTACTGTGATTATATGGTTAACAGAAAGAGATGGAGGCATGGGGAAAATAACACAGGACAATTTAATGTAACTCAGTTCAAAGATAGGTCTCAGTAAGAAGGCTGTTTCTTTCTTATTAACTTTTTAATCTAACCATTCAATAAAAAGGTGATATATCCCAATTCTGAAAAGAGCAAACTAGCATAATCTGATTTCTTCCTCACTCAAACATGGAAATGCCATAGAAATAAGACTTAAAATGTATCAATCTGAAGAATAGTACCTGTTCTAAGAATAAAACAAAATAACAGAAGTGAAAGTCATTTGCTACATCTCCATTTTAAAAGATCAAAATTCCCTGAGTCTTGTCCTTTTCTAAACCTTGAAGGTGGCATGGACACAAATAGATGCGGAATTACTCAGCCGTGACCAATTCTTTCTGGTAGGACTTTCCCAATACTCAGAGCTCCAATTTTTTCTGTTTGTGCTCTGCCTTAGCATGTTTGTGATAATCCTCCTGGGAAATAGCCCCTCATTATCATCAGTATTCTAGATTCTCACCTTCCCACGCCCGCCCATGTATTTCTTCCTTGGAAACCTCTCATTCTTATACATCTGTTATACATCATCATCCATCCCCGCAATGCTCATCAGATTCAAGGCTAAGAGAAAATCCAGCTCTTCCAGTGGCAGTGCTCTGCAGATGGTTGTCTCTCTTGGTTTTGGCTCCATTGAGTATGAAATATCATGAGCACACACTAAACTCATATGTTCACGAGTTTTAGTAATAAAAGCAATTTGATTTGTTGATAGAAATGTTAAATAAATTCTGCTATACTTAATATTGAGCTGCTCACTAACCTTTCCTGCTATTTACTCTAGTAAGGCTTATCGCAAAGAGGCTGATACAGAAATATTACATCATGATGACAAGCTCTAGAAGCCTCCAGTCTATTTTCCTTCCTTCCCCACAGCATTTAATTCAATATTCATTACACAATAGGAACTTCCACAAATACTCATCTATATGAGAATGAAACTTTTTTAGGATTATTGATTGAAAACAATTATCTTTTATTACCAGTTACTTTATTAATGCCCAGCTGGTGTGACTGAGTGTTTGAGCATCGACCTAGGATAAACCAGGAGGTCACGGTTTGATTCACGGTCAGGGCATATCCCTGGGTTGAGGGCTCAATCCCTAGTGGGGTGTGCAAGAGGCAGCCAATGAATGATTCTTTCTCACATCAATGTTTCTGTCTCTCTCCCCCTCCCTTCCTCTCTGAAATTAATAAAAATATTTTAAAATT